CTTTCTTTTATTTTTAAAATGCTTCACTTCCTTATTGTCTTTTTCTTTTAAAACGTCAGTTGTGAGTAGCGCTCTGTCCTGTCCTGTCTTACCTTTCTCTTCTCTTGTCGTTTGCGCTAATTTTATCTGATCATGTCTAACCAACTAGCCCAACAGATGATATTGACCAAGCAGGAATATTTGGTTTTATACGTTAATCTGTATTTGCCAGCTTTCACAACGAAATTACGTACATTGTAAATCAAGTTCAAGTTGTACACAGTCAAAGGGATTAGTGATATAATAATACAGGGAACAATCAGGAGCGTATAACATAATCTGTGTCTTAATGTTCGACGGTATATACGTCATTGACATAAACTAGATAAAAAAAAAAGACCCAACACGGTTACTTGGGGCCCTCCGGCTTTGACTGCGATTGAGAAAGAGGATATTTTTGAAGTTGAAGTGGAAGCTAACGGAGTGTTAACAATAAAGATTGAGGAGGAACCTTACGGACCCTGTTTGAAAAGTCAATAAATATTACATGAGTTTCCGTACAAAGATGAAGGTCTTTGTAGATGACGGTTACAAGTTTAAAAACTTGAGTATCACAAGATATGGACAGTTCGGTAACCGTGATGGGCTAAGAAAAGTAATCAGTAATCGACCAAATGGTTGATCGTTCTTGAGTAAATATAGGCTCCATTAGCTTGATTCGAGCATTGGTAAAAGAAGTGGACCTATAATTAGTGAGACAGTTTTTGTTGCAAATTTTGTAAAATAACAAATTTTCCCATATTTCCATTCAAGAGGGTACATCAACGGAGTCGATGTAGGATGCTGGAATAACCTACAATGAAGTGTGCTAGAAAGTGGTTTAGTCAGTTTGAGCACTTGAGTTGATATCTCGTCTGGGACTAGAGCGGTGTTTTTAGGAAGGCTATCTATAAGTATCTTAATTCCAGACGGCGTGATACAACTACGGTTCACATCGGCCGTGATTGTGTGATGAGGCATCAAATGACTGTGGTCCGGACTCGGTATATTTAATTGAACGGGGATGGAGAAATGGTCGCTTAGGGGCTCAAGGATTTCATAACCTGCGGCACACCCAGGATTGGTGTTAAAAAAAGGTTCATTGTTGCAGATTGTCGAGTTGGTTCGTTAATCATTTGAGAAAGTGATTACGCATTGCACATATCAACAAAGAATCAGGCCTTAGCGGGAAGAAAATACAACAAATCAGACGGCATGTGAGCAGGTTAAACAGACGTTAGAAGTTCAGGGTAATTAAGATCGCCGGTGTGTATATATATGACCATGTCGTTAGAAAGCACCTGCTCAAGTAATTTCAAATATTTTTGAAGAACGGCTGTTAAATCAAGAAGTTCGGATGGCTAGTTACAAGCAAGAAGTATTACAAAAGTGGAGGACATTTTTATTTATACTCAAAGTGCTTCGCAATCTCACAATACTCCGCGTTTTGAACATGCAGTGGGTTTTTGTAGCTTACTGCAGGCTTCAAATAGAAGGCCAAGCTCCTCCCGGCAAGCCCTCCACCCTTTCTACTTTAGAGGAGTGAAGCAAGTGAAGGCTGAAGAGGCGAGTGGAGAGGAGGAAACCATCAATAACGGCAAACAGAGAGCTTTATGGAAAGGTTTTGTCATGCTAGTCTAAGGGTGCAACAGGCCCTAGTGTGATGAAATTAACTCGTCTCAAATGCGAACTTTGCACAAACATTGTGCTCGTCTCAGTGAAATGTGAAAAGTTACGAATGTTGTGCTTCAGCTAATCGTGCCATGCCTTTAAAGTTTGTTGTGTATGAAACAGATGGCGCATGCCATTACATAATAATTTTAAACTTTTATCGCCAATAATAAATCTTAATAATTGGCGCCAAAGGTTCTTACGAGGGTAATTCAATAAATAAGGTGATTTTTTCTGTAAAAACTTCTAATACAGATAAAACCCTATTGAAAATTCCATCAAGATACGTAATTTGGGACACTGACTGCCAGTCAGCAGCCTTGGTGGAACGTGATGGACCATCAGACGTCATCTGATGGTCCATCAGATGACGTCTGACTGCCACTGCCAAGGGAATTTCATCAACAAGGGCACCATTTATATAAGAGTAAAGCTATATGCACTCATAAATATCGCCAAATGCCTCGATAAAACAAAATGTTCGATAAAAAAAAACAAAAACACCGCGGATCAATTTGCGATCACTTGCGTCCAAATCGGACACCTTAACCCCTATGCTAAAGCATCGCTTTGGAAACTCGATTTGACCATTCGTTTTATACGAGATGCTTCTGCTGCAGATGCAGTTATGCAAAGCACTCGTACATCTCTCGCCGTACTTCAGTCCTACTCACCTGCCATGTAGAGTACTTTGGCGTCGTAGAACGATCCTTTTGTTCGCGCGTCTCCGGCCCAGTAGACCTGGTGCACCTTGTCGTCTTCAACTACACCGCTAAAGTCCCTTACATCGTCGGAACTCACAACAGGCTGGGTCTTGTCGAGTAGAATTTTTAATAAAACATAAGATATTGTAGAGCCCGGGCAGGATCGACAGGTTGGAGCAAGCGGGCAAACAAAACGAGTCGAGAGCGACCGTTCATGAAAGCTCGGCGAAGCCTCTGTGGGCGAAGCGAAGTGGCGTTTTCGGCGTTTCGGCGGGCTTCTGATCAAGGTTGTCGGTCGGCTGCGTGTCATATCTCTAACATCAGCGGTTTTATGGGCTCACGTCCCGAAATCGTTTTCTTGTGCATAGATTATTTTTCGTATTCATAGATTTGACGAAATAGTGGTATCCAAATTAACTTTACGTCCTTTGACCGTACGTCTGTCTGCACGTCAAAGCTTTTTGACGTACAGTCAGAGACAATTGATGTACAATCAGAATCGCCACCAAGACATCTTGATGGCATTTCGCGGCGGCCGACTGCCACTAGGAAACCATCAGAAAGCCGACAAGTGGAGTCTGACTGGAGTTTGACTGTCGGTCAGAGTAACTTGTTGGCCAATCAGACATGCTTGACGTACAGTCAGGCACAGTCAGTGGTCCACTAGAAAACATTGACTGCCAAACAAGGTTACATTGATGGATTTTTCCTTCGGGAAGCTTACTTTTTGTTATTTTTATTGTTTTACTACTTTTCCACATGAATTAATTTTCTTATGCAGATTAAAAAAAAAAAGAAAAAAAAAGAGATAAACTGAGAATTTTACTGAGTAACAAGGATGGCCGACTAAAAAGCATGCTCCAGGATTAAACAGCGGTCAGTTATGAAGTTCTTGTTTGCTGAAGGGTGCAAACCCGTTAAAATTCACAGGAGAATGTCAACTGTGTATGGTGTCACATGTTTCAGCAATAAAATGTCTACAAGTGGGCTAAATTGTTTAAAGAAGGACGGGTTAGTGTTGAGGATAAAGACAGGCCTGGGAGGCCTACAGAAGTGAGATCTCCTGAGGTGATCGAATCAGTCAATGACCTCATTGAATCTGACAGAAGGGTGACAGTGGATGGCATTGCAAGGACTTTGAGCTTATCTGTGGGGACAGCACACAAAATTGTCCATGATGACCTTGGATACTCGAAGGTTAGCAGCAGGTGGGTGCCAAAGATGCTTACTGCGGAGCACAAACAGAGGAGGGTCGAGTTGTCCCAGCAGTGTCTTTCCCGCTATGAGAAGGATGGTGATGAGTTTCTGAAGAAGATGGTCACATCTGACGAGACATGGGTTTGGCACTATGAGCCTGAGTCTAAACGAGAGTCCATGGAGTGGAAGCACGCAGGCTCTCCAGTGAAGAAGAAGGTCAAGTCCCAGCGGTCCACTAGGAAGGTGATGCTCACCGTTTTTCGGGATATGCAAGTTCCAATCACCATTTCATCCCTTGAAAAAGGAAGCACTGTGAACAGTGTCAACTACTGTGAACTGCTGAGGCAGGTCAAGGAAGACATGAAGAACAAACGCAGAGGTCATCAGCCAAAAGGAATCATCTTGAATCATGACAACGCAAGGCCTCACTCAGCAGCCCTAAAGGCCCATACGCACATTCGTGTTTGAGCGCGGTGCATTCCGTAGCGGCAAGCGGACGCGTTGCGTTGCGAAGACCGCTTGCGCCAAACTTGTACGCACAGTTGCGTTGACAAGCAGTCAACCGCAGTCAACAGCCAATAAGAACGCGCTATCGTAGCTAGTGGCTCACCAATAGTAAGCAAAATCCAAGGCAACATGGCGGCGCACGGCGACAGCGTCGAAGCGTTCGATCTTGGGACAATCTCGCCGGCTTCCCCGACGTTTTGTCAAGCTTGAACCATCGCAGCCTTGGAAAATACAGTCCCCACCACTCCCCAAAACGAAAAAGCAAGCACTGCGACCGGTGAACCGGATACGTCTCTCCGAGTCGGCCGGAGCGAACACGTCACCCCCTCACCTCTTTGGGCTTCTGATTGGTCGAACGCGCCCGAACGCACCGCAACGCTTCGGAGAGTTGAACGAGTCTCTACTCGCTTGCGTCGCGCTACCGAGCGTTGCGGGAAGGCGCGCGTCGGTCCGCAAGCGACCGCGCCTGGCCGCAAGTACTCCGCAACGCACTCAAACGCGTTCAAACGCGAATGTGCGTATGGCGCTTAACGGTGCAGACCATCAACGAGCTGGTCTGGGAACTGCTCCCTCATCCCTCTTATACCCCAGGCATTGTCCCTTCAGACTTTCACCTGTTTGGTCCCTTGAAAGCGTTCACGAGAGGCACGAAGTTTGAAAGTGACGGTGAAGTCAAAAGTGTTGCGAGCGACTGGCTGAGACATCAGTCTAAAGATTTTTAAACTGATGGAATACGGAAGCTTGTGCACAGATGGGAAAAGTGTGTGACAGTGCTGGGAGACTACGTAGAAAAGAAAAAGTAAGCTTCTATCTGTATTAGAATTCCTTATGCAAAAAAATTCACCTTATTTATTGAATCATCCTCGTATTTTTGGGGGGTAAACTCAAGTTCTATGTACTTACGAGAGTTAAATATATAATGAAGCTCCCTCTGGTAGAATAAGCGCAAGCCAACGTTTGTTTGTTGCATCTCCGTGTATTCTCGGGGCAGGAAGTCGCGGAAGTAGTGTTCTTTAATTTCCTCGTTGCTCATGGTGGTTTTAGGTACGTCGAAGCAACGTTGAAGGTCAATTCCTGTTTTGGACCTGAAAAATAAACTGATCGATGGAACTGTTGCAGAGAAAGTGAAGAGCGAAAAAACAGTCAAGAATATGTGTAAACATATTAAGAAAAAAAAAAAAATAAAACAAAGAAATCATGACGAGCCTTTTAAGGAGGGTTCCTGCTTCGAGACACACATGTAGTTTATATCGTCAAAAGTGAAACCGAGCAGGTGCTGTTAAGACTAATATTAAACGTTTAACGAAACAAACTTGTGACTGCAACTAAAAAAACAAAAAGTACCGCCCATCCTGCGACGGCGGCGCGACTGACCCCAAGTAGCGCGCTATCGGCTCTTTTCAAAGGTCAAGGCCCTGTACCCAAATAAGTGCCTACAAGGTGTGGGCTCTGCGCATTGTCCCTGCCAATAGCAGTGCCACCGCAGCGGTGTGACGTCACAGCCGCGTGTTGGTGCATGCGAGATCAGGTCGTCTGCTTCCTGCGCTCGAGTTGTGGTAACGTCAAAACGACGCCGGGATCTGATCGTCTTTGTTCGAATGGAGGGTGATTAGACCACATTGCTAGATGCCTCGAGGTCTAACCACTACTTTTTATTTTAATAAGGTAATAAGAACTCGGCATTCTGACATCACTGCAACCTTAGTGAAAAAAGCAGACAAACTTGCGCTCTGTATGCAGGTGCTGTGTTCAGAGATGTTTCAAACCAAAACGCATTATGACGTAAAGGAATGAAGCCAAACCCGCTACGTGCACTGCAATAAATTTCCGACCTGTTGTCGTTTAACTTTTGGCCTAAAACATATGGCAGCTTGTTTTTTTGTGTGGTGCTTGAAAATTGCATTCTACGAGTAAACAGTTTGTAAAACTAACAAAAGCAAAAATACCCCGATGTTTCTCATGGCGGGCAGCGTTCATATCTCATTTCCTATAATTTGCTGAAAACTTGCGGCTTTTGTTAAAGAAACAAATGTTGAAGTAAAATGTTTATTTCAGTTATCTATAGATGTGCTTTTGTAGTACTATAACAAGAGTTGGACTAGTACACCAGGAAAGTACATCATTTTACGGTGTTCTAAAAAAAAATTCTCAATTCGGACGCGTTTCCAGACTTCGGTTTCTTACCAGAGCGCATCTCTGCGCCCGCGACCCTGCTGCCCGGTGGCCGCAGTGCGAAGCCGCCACCCCTTCGCCTCCCTCGTAAGATGGAGGGAAGCAGGGTGTACATGTGTTGCTCGTCTAAGCCCCTGGGGACCGTGGGCGCAGAGATGGGCTTCGATAAGAAACCGAAACATAAAAGCTCAACCGAATAAAGCGTTTTTACAGAAAGCGTAAAATGCTATCCTTGCATTATATCCTTCTAAGAAGAGTTGATATTGTGGTTTTTAATGACTCAGCAAGTTTCTAAGTGGAACCATATGTTCATTTTAACTACTTAAAAAGTTAATTAATAAATTGTATTTAATTATCCGACTGATCGTTACGAATAGGCCCCTATATTACGTACGCTTGGCCGTATAACTCGCCTGCACAAACCGCATTAATCTAGCTTTCACAACCTTTTTAAACAGATATGTAAAGCTTAAAAAAATCGCCCTGCCCTACTGAAAGAAACCATTTGGCGCGTATAGGAAAGTAAACGGGTTCATACCGGTAACAGTTTGGCTATACCGGTCACCAGTTTGTCAAAGGGGTCTCCCGTATGGCTCAAAGGGGCCACCCGTACGAGCCATAACGGTCACCCATCTGGGCAAGCAGGTCATTCCTTTGGCAAACGGGTCACTCGTCTGGGCAAATAGGCCACTCGTTTGGGCAAAGTTGTCGCACGTCTGCTCAAGCCGGGGACCACGTTGCACAAACGGGTGAGTGGTGACCGGCGAACTGTACCGGTTTAAACAAACGGCTCTCCGGAGCCCGTTTGATACTGAACGTACCGATCGGCGGCATGGTCGCGCCTATTTCAGCCGTACGGCAGCCTGTTTCCGGAAAGCCGCCGGAGCGCCGGTTTATCGGTTTACAATCGTCCGCGTAATGCCAGTAATAATATTTTGATTGCGCTGATGTTCGCTTATACTGCAACTGCAATAAGCGATTTTTTTATACGTAAACGTGCGACGCTGGCGAGCCAATATTTTTGACAGAACTTTAAAAACTTGCCGTTCTTTGTTGCCTCAATTTACTTATTCAGCTCGAATCTCTCGCGCGGAGGACGTCGACCGTGTGAAAGAATATATTTCTAGACTCCATTTCCCCTCAACTCAAGACTCAACGAAGGTAACGCGCGAACACGTGGCTGCAAGAACATCGAGCATTGCCGAGAGGAGGCCCGCCGTTTCAACAGTCAGATTACGAGCTCGCGCTGGGTGCTCTTTTGGCTCGGGCGCAAGCCGAGCTTCTGGCCGCCGCCATTTCCAGCGTTCCAGCGTGCTGAAATGCGCGCGTTTCGCCCGCTTTCCGAGGCTGCAAGCGCGACGTGCAGTGGCGATTCGAAGAGAGGAGAAAAGCGCGTATACAGCAGTCGGTGCATCCTCCCCTAGCATTGACTGCATTGCCACAAAAAGCCAACCGCTAGTTTTTTTTTTTAGTTTTTTTAATAAAATGCATGAGGAGGGTTTTGGGGGGGGGGGGGGGGGGGGTTTAGGGTGTTTTGCGGCTTGACCTCGCCGTCGCCACCTTCCTCCTCTCTGGTTAGCTCTGTCACGTGACCAGAGAGAGGGGAGGGCATGCAGTGTTGCCAGATTGGGCTATATATAGCCAAATTGGGCTACATTTGTTTCTAGTTGGCGTCAAAATTTCGTGGTTGGCTATGTGGCTATTATTGGGCTATTCCTAACAATGCGGCGAACTCTTGTCGAACCTCTGGTTCGACTAGTTAATTTTCGACCTTCTAATCAGTTTCGAAAAAAAATTGTTTCTCTTTCGGATAGTCCAGAGGAAAGAAATGAAGGAGAAAGGCTTCACACTTCGGGGTTTTCATTATGCGCAGAGAAGCAATGTTTGCAGAGTTTAAGCGCTCTCCCCACAGCGCAGTAGAACAAATAAAACAAACATATTGCACTATTCCCACTGGCCCGGTAGCGCGTCTTCTTCCCTGACCTAGACTGAACTCTCTAAACGCAGCTTTGGTGCCCATTGTGAAAATTCTTAGGCATCGCCCACCCCAAGAAAGGACAACACAATCAAAAATAGCGTGAACCGGAGCGGGGGTACACACGTGTTCTACGCAAAGAAAAATAGACGGGTGGGTTATTGGTAAGAACCTTAGATATTGGGGGTTCTGGTTTAAACTCCCAGTGTTCTCTGCTTTTGTATTTTGTTATTTTAGTGTTTTTCCATGGCTTCACAAATCAGCTGTGTTCGTGTGTTTGGTACTTCTGAAGTCCTACGAAGGATGGGTCATTGTACAAACTTTCGTCCATCCGAAGCTTTATTTTTTCTTTTTTTTTAATTAACAAGGGACATAATGTACTCAAAAAGTGGCGTATCTGAGGGTTGAAAAAGAAAAGGTAACGTGTTTTGTATGTGTGCGAGAAATTGTCAATAAAAGGCTTAAAACTCATTGTTTTTAGATTTGGCTATTTCGGCTATATCTTTTTTACGGCTTTGGCTATATTTGGGCTATACCTCTCCGCCGTTTGGCGGTTTTTTGGTGAGACCATTTTTCAACACTGAGAGCACGCTGCTGGATGACAAGAATAGCCAGATCCGGCTGCGTACGCGTTGGCAGTCGCTTTTTTTTTGGTCTGCTGGTTGTCCTTTGGAACTTCGTTTGTCCTGCCTGCTTCGATCTGCCGCCTTTGCCTGCGGTCTTATTAGGATATTTCTCGACAACGTATGGGATGTGCACCAAATGTTCGAAAAGTCCTAAGCGTATATCGGCAACAAGCGATTCGCCAAAGAAGTCAGGAATTCTTGCGGTTTGGCAGGGTTCGGCAAATGAGAGTTTGTGCGCCGCATCGTGTTGAAACTTCAAGGAGCCTTCCTTCTCGTTTGAGTCTGTGTGTAGTTGTCCCGCTTCCACAGTGTCGACATTTAGCTTGGTTTACATCTTTCAAGTCCGCTGTTATTATGGTAAGTGCATTCCTACCTACTTGTTGGCAACGACTGACCGTTCTTCTATCGGTACACGGCGAGATTATCTATAGAATTATTCAGCGTCTGTTCTCGCGGCAGCCGGGAGAGTGATTTTTCCGAAAGTCTGCCATTATAGTCTATAATGATTTCGGTTCTTGCTTGCTTTGAAATCTTCTCAGTTATATAAAAAGTTAAAGTGCCTCTTCACATTGCACAGATCGCTTGCACGTTTGTACTTGTCTACGGAATAGGCTGTAATAAACTTTTATGAGAATTGAAAACAATTTTTTTTGTGTCTGTTTTCCTGCCCATTTGCAAGCACCTGCGCGAGCACATTTTTTCTACGTGATTCCTCCCTGTTATGAACAGGCTTATGAGTTTCGAGATGTCTTAAATAAGTTTACGATGACACACCTTCCGAACGATACCCATTTAGGGCTCGCAAATAATTTGCCTATCGGAATGGCGCGTTCAAATGTGTGGTCACGTGGCTGGTCGAATGGTCACCCGTATCGAACGAGCACACGTATCAAACGGGTGCCGTTTGAAACGGGTACCTGTATGCCATATTCACGTTTGATCCAAACAGACTGACCAGTTTGCCACCCGTGTAATTCAAATGGGTCGACCAGTTTGCCACCCCTTTGAATTTCAATTTTGTTTTTCAGTAGGGTGTATAACAGCGAAAAGGCGATACCAGCATGGTGGAGCCATGTGGCTCCACCATGCTGGTTTCGCCTTTTCGCTGGAATAGGATGTCTCATATTACGTTATACATGTACGATTCCGTCCGCCTGCATGGTTCCGGAATAATTTACTCCGTTGGTATAGGACGTCCCATAATACGACGCGCTTGTATGGTTCCGTCCACCTGTATCGTTCCGCCTTAATCCACTATAC